AGAAGACGGCATACGAGAATATATATATATACAGATGTTTAAAATCCAAAAAGAAACACACACAGATAAACCACAATCATCGGCCTTACCACATGTGAATAATTCAAGATTATTCTAGAAGAAACCATTATCCCAGGCAGACAGGTAAGCTGATACAGTGGACCTCGTCCCAGCATCCTCCTCGTCCAGCTGCTCCGTCCTCACCTCTCACCAACTGTTGCTGCAGCCCTCTCTCTGACTGGGGAAAGAAGATGAGGCCTTGCTCTTGTTGTTGTCAAGTCTGACTCGTTTGTGAAGAAGGAGCCAGCTGTTCAAGGAAACAGGTAGGATCATCACAACACTGACAATATGGGCTCATTAAAAACTGATGCATGAACAGAAAGACTGAATGTCTAAGAGAAGATCTGATGCAGTCAGTTGTTCTGTTTCTTCAGTTTGAAAGCTTTCTTTCTTTTCCATAATTACTTAAGCACTGAATCAGACACTGACTGTATATTTTTAGAAAATGTAATTTGTAATCTGCTGAACCAGGGGGTATATGACTGAATTTAATCCTGATTTCAGCTGTGTTGAACGGCACTAAATTAAAACAAACTGAGCTGAATAAAACTGTAAATAATAAAATTTAAATTAGGCTTTTGTATTTTTTAAAGGTGTTTATAAGTAATTTTTGTTCCAAGTTTTACACGTCAGAACAGAATGCCTTCAACAAACATGACATCAGACTCTGTTGTCATGCGTTATTGCTGAAACATTATTTTAGTCCAGATTTAATATCTTTAACTCTGATGTAATAAGTGTGCTATGTTAAATAGTTGCTGTTCGTTATTTATTAATTAATTTATTCCTGTTACACCAGGATAGCGAGGCAACAATAGCAAAATTTAGACAAGTTTTAAGATCTTTTGAGGGTCAGGGCTATCATTTGGTCATTACTTTTTCATAAAGGTGGTTTTAATATGTAGATGTAAGTGTGACACAACAAGTAATTTTTGACAATCAGGCTTAAATATATTTTACATGACAATACTTTCGTAACAAACGCCGTAAAAGAAAATATAAGATCCCAAGGTCCTATTTCTTCTTATATTTTCCCAAGAAAAGATAAAAATAAAAGATTTAAGATCCCAAGTCAGTACTGAGCCATGAACCCCAACAAATTTGTAAATTTGCTTTTTATGTTTTGGTAAAGATTCTTTACACTTATGTTAATATAATTGTTTCTATCAACTTTTAAAGAAATAAATCTACAAAAACTAAGAGGGTATCCCTAATTTATTACAGTTAAAAGCCCTCAGTCACAATTCATGGGTTTAAAAGTTGCACCTGTAACAGGAGAGACGTTGCAACAAGACCGAGTGAGCAGGTGATCACTTACTTTTTCATTATGAACACATGTGGCGTTCCGTCAGAGGAAACAACCCATTTCTTTTGATGTTGACAGGAGAACATAACTGCAAAAAAAGCCAAACAAATGTTTTCATAATCTAAATGACCTTTTAAAGCAACTTGTCACCATGCTGCACTTATGAGTTTATATGCAACTCATTTTAGAGACAATAATGAGGAAAAACTGGACTAATTTCTTCATTCACATACACAAACATTCAATGTCTGGGTAAATGTTCAGTTTGAGATGCTCTTTAAAAATTATTTATCAATAAATTTCTATAGCTGGATTTTTCAGCATTGTTTGCCCCAGTGGACAGAGTGTGGTTAAATCTGTTTTTAATGGCACTGGTTAAATACATTTTAATATAAAAGGTTTTATTCTTTACAAAAAGCCAATATTACCCTGCTGCACCCTTTAACATCTTGTTTTAATTCATGTCACTTTCCTGCTTTAACCCCAGATTATGAAAACTAAGATTACGGAGAAGAATTGTTTAGTAAATCTGACCCCAAGCATGATGCTCCCACCACTGTGCTGAACAGTTTGGCTCTATTTTTGCTGGTGCAGAATGTATCACCTTTACTTCTTTAGGCACATGGTTGTTAGTCCACAACCATCTCCATCTTCTTCACATTGATGTGAAGGTTGTTCTTCCTGTACCAGCTCTCCAGGTGTTCCACCTCCTGCCTGTAGCTGGACTCATCGTTGTTTGTGATGCATCCAACCACCGCTAAATCTTGTATCTGTATTTTTCTGAACCACTTTGACCTCGGTTGTCCTCAGGTTGTTTCTGTGAGTAGCAAGTTGGCCAGCTGGCCTAAAACATTTGAATTGTTGTACATGATTATTGTTTTAGATGGGTGTGTTTAGCACATGTTAAGCCTACTTCTGAGATTTCAACAGGAGGTTGGCTTAAAACACATCAGTGAAGGCTACCTATGGGACAGATCTGGTTGGTAGGCCGCAGACCGACAAAGTCCTCTGGATGGGGGACGAAATATTTCTCACTTAAAGAACCTGTCATATCATGTCAGTCAGAAATGGCAACATAGGCATTAGATAAAGGGCTTTTAATGGTTTAAAACCTACCAGCAACATAGTCTGGTTGTGAGAGTGCCACTGCTTGAGCTGTTCTGGAAACCCCCGCCCCCCAAAAAATCTGTTCCAGGACCGGAAGCACGGACCGGAAGCACGATCCATACCGTGGGACCGTATTCAGGGCGCTGGAGTGGTGCGCCCAGAATCTTCCTATCTCTTGTAATGAAGAGGAGCTAACTGCACATGTACAACTTTTAACGAGAGTCTATTGGCATAGATCCATGTGCACCCAGGGCAGAAATACGTCATCAATCAGAGACAATGTTTTTGAAAGGAACAACTTTACTCATCATTAACTATAAAATAGTTATCTTGCACAACAAAAAATACATACACATATATTTTGAAATATTTTTATTTTATTATTTCATTTTTATTTAATTTGTTTCTGTCTTCAGTGGTTTGAGTGGTGGGGTGGCACCCTAGTGCCTCCTATTGACCAGCCGCCACAGATGGATACAGTGAGGAAGAAAAGTATTTGAACACCCTGCGACTTTGCAAGTTCTCCCACTTAGAAATCATGGAGGGGTCTGAAATTTTCATCTTAGGTGCATGTCCACTGTGAGAGACATAATCTAAAAAAGAACAATCGGAAATCACTATGTATGATTTTTAAAATAATTTATTTGTGTGTTACTGCTGCAAATAAGTACAAAGTATTTGAACACCTGTGAAAATCAATGTTACTATTTGGTACAGTAGCCTTTGTTTGCAATGACAGAGGTCAAAGGTTTCCTGTAGCGTTTCACCAGGTTACACACTGCAGCAGGATTTTGGCCCATTCCTCCACACAGATCTTCTCTAGATCAGCCAGGTTTCTGGGCTGTTGCTGAGAAACATGAAGTTTGAGCTCCCTCCAAAGATTTTCTATAGGGTTTAGGTCTGGAGACTGGCTAGGCCACTCCAGAACCTTGATATGCTTCTTACGGAGCCACTCCTTGGTTTTCCTGGCTGTGTGCTTTGGGTCAATGTCATGTTGGAAGACCCAGCCATGGCCCATCTTCAGTGCGCTAACTGAGGGGAAGGAGGTTGTTCCCCAAAATCTCGCAATACATGGCCCCGGTCATCCTCTCCTTAATACAGTGTGGTTGTCCTGTCCCATGTGCAGAAAAACACCCCCAAAGCATGATGCTTCCACACCTATGCTTAGGGATGGTGTTTCTGGGAAGGTACTCATCATTCTTGGTCCTCTAAACACGGCAAGTGGAATTAAGACCAAAAAGTTACTTTAATGTGGAACACATATGTATTTTTATCTAATTAAAAGGAAGACTCACAAACCTGCAGAGTTCATAGTTTAGTTTTTTTTTGGTTTGTTTTTATTTTTGGTAAAACTGGTATGAAATATATATTTTCCCCTTCTTTACATGAATGTGGTCTTTTCTTTAGCCCTAAAATGTAAAATTATTAAGAAATACGAAAATTCATTATAATTTTTGTTGTGTTAAGTCACCTGGCTGGAAACAAAAAAACCTTCATAAGTGGCCCATGAGCCACCAGTTGATAATAACCATTGTAGCAGGTTTTGTGGCTCTACACATTATGTTCAGTAAGTGAAGGGTAAATGGCTCTTGATCTAAAAGGTTGCAGACCCCTGATTTAGGCCATCCCAAGTTCGCTCTTCTTGCCTAAATGATCTATGTCCTCTCAACCAGCCGGAAAGCAGATGGCCGCTTGTCCTGAGCCTGGTTCTGCTGGAGGTTTCTTCCTTTTAAAAGGGAGTTTTTTCTTTCCACTGTTGCCACTGTGCTTGCTCAGGATAGGAGACTGCAACGAAGCCAAGATTCAACTTGTCTGCTGGATTCCTTAGATAGAGAACGTCACTAATTTACTTTTATGCATGTGAATATTTCTGTAAAGTGCCCTGAGACAACTTTGTTGTGATTTGGCGCAATATAACTAAACTGAATTGAATTGATCTGCAATTAAAATTACAGGCAGCATGAAAATGTAAAAGTCCTTATATATATATATTAATGTTTCTTAACCTCTCAATTGTAACCCAATCCCAATCCAAGCTGCAGTCTGATTTTAATTTAAAAACCAGTTTGTTTTTACTAATTAAAGCCATTAAAGCCAACAGTACTTGCCAAAGACCTGTTCGACCTGTGCAGAGACAGGTGCCAGGAGGGGGAAGAGGAGGAAGAGGAGGAAGAGGAGGAGTATAGAGCGTTGCTTTCTGATGATGAAGGATCGTTTCAGTGTTCAGTGGCGCCGTGACGCTCAGCAGGATGCTCTGTAGTCTGGTGCGCACTCCTCTGTCTCCAGCTCTCCTCCACACCGAGCACCATGATGGAAGAAGAGCCTAACTGATGCTCAGCCTCGATGTGTCTGTCCTCCGGTTCGGTCCGGGAGCTGATGAATTTTAAAGCGAACCCCGGACCTCCGTCTCTCGCCCTCTGAAGACCCCCTCCACCCCCTGCTGGAGCCGCGTTTTCACCGAGCCGAGAGGACCGCGGCGGGACCGGGAAGTCTTCAGACAAGGTACGGGCTCGGTTCGGGTTCTGTCAAAAAAACAAAACAAAAAAGCCCTGAAGTTAGCCTCTTAGCATGGCTGCCCGGTCTTGTTCGTTTATTGTTAATAATAATGGCCACTTTCATCTCGCCGCTGGTGGATTCAGGAGCGGCTCTGTAAGAAACATCAAACACAAAAACACATTTTTTTTATTGTTCTTAACGTTTTCCACAAACTGCGGCGTGTTAGCCCTGTTGTAATAAGGTTACCAGCTGTTTCTGCGTTGCTCAGTTTTCACTCAGCGCCTAGAGCCAGCCTGTCATTTCACGTCGTTTTTTTTTTTTTTTTTTTTTTTTTTAAGAGGGGGAGGAAGGGGGGGTTGACCATGTCTTATCACCTTGGTGGTGTCCAAGGAGAAACAGAAGGACGCTCGGTGATGGGTTAGTTTGTCACGAATGGCTCATGGTAATGCCAAAGCTCATTTTCACAAGAAAAGCTCGATGCAGTGGTAGGATTAATGACAAAATAATAATAATAAAAAAAAAAAAAGATTGAAAAACGCTTGTGTTCCCACAGCGCCTGAAGTAGCCGCGGCTACATTAAAACGCAGCACAAAAAAAGGAGATAAAGAAGCGGTGTTTGTCGCCCAGCTGTGGAGTCATGCAGCTACTCATATCACATTTTGTTGGCAGTAAGAAGATTAAATTCTTCCCGGAGCATCGCTGCAATGTGACCTTTTCTGGTCCTTCCTCTGCGGGGCCTGTGTGCAGTTCAAGGACTTCCACAAATGATGTGACCAAAGTGACGCCTCCGAGTGGCAGCTCTCGTTTTATTTTTATTTTTTTGCACGCTTTGTTTGTTTGTGCACCAGAGCTGCACAAAGCATCTGCTTCAGATTTGCACTTCCTGTGCTCAGCTCTGGATTATTATTCGCCACAAAACATCAAAGCCAAAAGCTGCCTGCCATATTTGTTGTAGTTCTGAGCTGCGCAGCCCTTCATTGTAGAGAGATGCATTTCATATCTGGGGAGATAATTAAAACGTCCTGTTTGCATGATTGGGAGACACATAAATTGCTTATTATGTTCCAGTAGAGGACTGCAGGTAAATAAGCAGACTTTCTGCTTGCATAATATTTCTGCAGAAGATCTCTTTTGGGCACACATTATTTTTAGGTTTAGCCCATACAGTCTGATGATAGACAACTATTGTTTTATCAAAAATATATATGGTTATCTACTGTTGTGTTTAAAGAAAAAGTTCAAAAACTTTTAAGCGTGGTTTTGTGGACATAGTAAACAAATAGTGTCTTACCTGTTGGAGACAATCAGTTTGAAGAAACGCATATTTAAGGTGCTTATTGCAAGGTTGTGAAGAGTGGTCCAAATAAAAACCGTAAAGTGAGAAACAAAATAGATTTCCTCATATCGATGCTAATTACATAAAAAATGTGTTAGTAAAATGTATGACTGGCTGCCAAATATCACGTTCATTTGTGTTCATACAAAAGCAGTCAACGTGACTGAAAATAGGTCAATGTTGACGAATGTCCATGGAAGAGACATTTGGGGTAGAGAAGTCTAACATTTATGTATTGGTACCCATTTACGCTCAGTTATGTTAAGTAAAGTATGCAGATGCACATTTTTAGTTTGCATTGTGTGTACCAGTATTTCAGAGTTCCATCCATCCGTGTTCTTTTCACACACTTTTTCCATTCCTGGTCATGGGGGAGCCGATGCCAATTGATCTTTTTAATAATGTGCATTTTCAAAATCAGAATCCTATTTCCTATATTCAAGGTTGGCTTTCAACTCGGTTTTTTTTTTGTACTTTACACCTGCCTTTCTGTTGGCTTTTATTTACAAGCACATTTATAACTTAGATTTAACGGCATTTTAAGTTGTCATAGCAAAATGTCATCGTGCAAAGCTGCTGGGTATCTTAATGACCGCAGAGCACAGATGAAACATAGATACAGCATGAACACTGTTTAAATTTAGTGGATTTCAGTTAACTGGAATGACGCTTGAATATATCTAGAGCTTAGTGCATCACAAAATACTGACTTTAATGGGGACACCTTGGACAGGTCGCAAGTCCTTTACTTTGCAACGTAGAGACAAATGAGACACAACCATTCACATTCTCACCCACACCTAAGGGCAATTTTAGAGTCACCAATAAACCTATCGTGCATGTTTTTGGTCTCTGGAAATCTGCGTACCCAGAGAAACCCCACACGTGCATGAAGAAGAGCATGCGCACTCCAAAACCTGCAACTTTTACGCGGTGAGCTGAAAACCTCTGCTTTGCCATGCCGCCCAATTTATAGAGTTGCATATCAGAATACAATATCTGGAAACCTACTGGTGTAAACTATTTTAAACTGTACCATTTGATAAGGTTCAGAATACTATTTCCTCTATTTGATTTCATAATCTGCAATGAGTACCTTTAACTCTGATTGGATTGATGAGCTAGAGACGAGTCCAAGCAGGGCCAAGACCAAAACACCTGTCACAAAACAGCTCTAATCTTAAATAGCTTAAATATTTCCTTGCATGTCATGCAAATACAGTTTTCTTTTTTTAATATTTAGGTCAGTCTTTGTAATTGTCTGGAGGCAAAAAAAACAACAAAATAAGTTTCATTAGACTTTACCCTGACACTTTGTTCAAGAGCAATAACGTTGACCCATGACCCAATGTTGATCCAGTGTTATCAGTTGCTGTTCAATGAGATGGAGCAAATCCATTTATAGCTGCAGAGAAAACCACCTCAAAACAGTTCCTTATAGTAAAGTAGGGTTTTATATGATCAGCTTCTACTTAAAAGTTTTCAACTTAAGACCATATTGGAGCACACAATTTCTATGACTTCATTAACAACATAAACAATTCACAATATTAGTTGTTTATATACTAAATGAATATAATTCGTGGAAAAAACAGGGCTGGACAATGCAAACATAGTCATGCATTTGATTTCAGATACAAACCTGGAATGCTTTATGTTTCTGGCACTTTTGCAAGAAAGTACAGGAGCTTATTTTGTCATAACTTTACCAAGAAGATTATAAAAACTGTGAATTTGACATTATCTTAATTTATTTCAGAGGCAAATTATGCCAGCAGCATCGGAGCCTCTCGCCCTGGTGACGTGCCAGCTCGTTGGTCAGACTACTCTGCCCTGCTTTTGCCTCCTCGTCTACCCTGGCAGATCCATGCTGCTGGATGCTCCTCAAAGAGCCACTCCCGCACTATGAGCGCCAACGGGCCAGCCCCAGAACCCACCCCCACAGCCCCAGAGGCCCCTCCCACCTCCACCCCAGTGGCTGCCCCGGCCCCAGCTTCGACAGCACCGCCTCCTCTAGCTCCACCTGCCCCGACGTCCTCTACCATACCGGTAGGCGCTTTGGCACAGAAGAAACGGCAGCAGTATGCCAAAAGCAAGAAGCAAGGGAGTAACGCCAACAGCAGGCCGCCGAGGGCTCTTTTCTGCCTCAACCTCAACAACCCATTACGTAGGGCCTGCATCAGCCTGGTGGAGTGGAAGTATCCTTTGCTGAGGTGTTGGTATGATACATGACTGAGATCACAAGTTTGACCACATATCAGTTCCAGATGAAATCCTCAAATGATCCTTTAACACTGTATAAATCAGTTAATTCTGTGAGAGACACTGGTAGAAAATTTCTCAAAGTTTTTTTTTATAAATATGAACTTTTTTATTAGGAAAAACTATTTAGGCACTTTCACAAAACACTTCAAGCCTCAAATGAGATGGCTATTGAGCATTCTGATGTGATTTCTGAATAATCTGAGGCAGCGCGCACCGGGGGGGGGGGGGGGGGGTTGAAACTAACCCACTGCAGTTACACCTTGGAGCTGCCAAGCGAGGTTGAAACAGAGCTGGAACAGTTGACAGATGAAAAGGTTAACTGGCTTTGAGGCTCAAGGATGTGATGTAGTGATGGCATATGGTCTGTGCAACCTGCAGGATTTAAAGACCAAGCAATATTAATCAGATTATTTCAGAGATGACTGATGTCAAACAACACGGTTTGCATTCAATTAAAGAATTTGGTTCAGCTCAAAGAGAATTGCTAAACAGAATTAATTTGTCGTGCTTTGAAAATGGGAATAAGTCAAACAGCCATCAGATAGCATTTCACAGAATACAGCTTGCTATCAACACACACTTAGACTGCATGATCGTCACAAGTCTTCATGAACCTTCGCTGTCTGACTCATGGTTACAACCAGTATACCTACAAAATGAACACAATAACTATCTAAGCATAATCACTGGACAGAACAGTGCCAAACACCTACGTAACCAAAATTATTTAAAAATTATTTGCTGGTAAATATTACCCAGAAGTCTTATCAAGGTCATGTGACCAGAAGTCAAATAGTACCGGTAACATACGATAAATATTAATTAAATTAGGACCATTGATTTTTATTGTTAAACAGTATTGGTAACAACTGCTGTTTTTAAATGTACTTTCTAGATAAATTTGACGTGAACCTCCTCAGCAGAGTTCGTATGAGGAGGGGGGAGGAAGGAAGTGGGAACAGCTCCTCCCTGCTGTAGCGCTCCTTCGTTCTGTGCTGAGCTTAAATGAGATATTGGTATTTAAACACATATTTACCATACACATATATATTTTTTCTTTTATTTAAATATGTATCAGTCTTGACTGAATGACTGCTTTAAAAATAAATCTGACGACTTCTCCATGCCGGATGAGCTCTCGTGACAGAAAGGGGAGGAGGCAAGTACTCCTCCTCTTGACTCCGGTCAGACGGAAGTTTAAAGTGAGATCCCAGTATTTAAATGCATATTTACCGTACACAGAAAGATGTCACATTGAAATAATTTAAAAAACTTTTATTAAAACATATACCAGACGACTGCTTTTGCTTCTCCGATGCCCGACCATCGACGCGTTGATGCAAACCTTATGGGCGGCAGCTGTGTTTCCTCCTTCGACCGATCGATCGCTTTTAACGTGAAAGCTGTGTCATAAGAAATTCTTTGTGCGTTTTACATTATCGCTGAACAAATGAACAGGTCTGTGCATGAAGCATAAGATACAGTAATGACACGGGAACAATCTGAAGAACTTAATGCGTCTTGGGGGATGGTCCTCGAGAGTACCTCATTGGTCATTCAGGTTAGACTTCTGGTCACATGATGACATAGTGGGTGGAGTTATGGTAGGGAATTTGAAACCCTGCGCAAGAGTCGTCGTACATGTGATTACTTTAGGGCATTCTGTTTGTGTCACAAACACCTGTACCCAAGAGAGGTGGGGGCGCTGGGAGCCACGAGCTCCCAGCTCTGTCAAAGGAAAATATTAATCAGCAGGAGAAAGTTACCAAGAGACAGCAGGAAGTCTTTCAAAATAAAATATAAATTTTGAAGATTATGAAAAAAATAAATAAGACGCTCCTGCATGGGGTACAAAGTGTGAGAAAAAAGTAGCGGCTTGTTTATGGTAGTGATTTATGAACGTTCAAAGGCAGCTTAAAATCACAGTTTTTGTGGCCATTTCCCAGAGTTATTGGTGAAAGTGCCAGTGGATCCTATTGACAATTACAAACCAATATTATATATTTTTTTCTCAATAGTTAAACGTAATTCATATACTGTATATAGAGCCGATATAAATAAATTAAAATCCAACTATCAACAATACTATTCAGTCCAAATAATTCCAATTTAGGTCAACCTAATACAATCAAGTGTTGAGACACATTAAGTTACCAATAATCTTATTCAATCCAATTATATTATCTTTCAATACCATAAGATTCAGTAAATTATGAAATGCCAATTAGTTAAAAGCTAAAAAAAAAAAAAAAAAGCACACGGTGGTGGACAAATGTAATTAACACATTTTGTCTGTCTTCACCTGCTGTGCAGTGCTGTCCAGTAAAACAAAGTAGATTCTTGTATTTCCCATAAAGACAAAGCGAAAGTCACCATGCCCTGAATCCTGAAATACTGCAGCGATGTGCGCTGTAGATAAAATGTCTCATCGCTGGGGAGTTGTTTAAACAGATAGTGGCATCACAAAAGGCATCAAAACATTTTGAAGGAGAATGCCTTACGTGAATGACAGAGATACCTATCAAACCACATTTATATTTTGTGGTTGTTGAGGAAAAATATAAATGTCCCCAGGGGTTTGTGACAAGTACACTTTAGCAAATGCAGCTACAGCTGTATCAGGTGTCCCAGTTTGTTGTGCATGGACAACAAACATCAGCTCAGTCCATGTAGATGACCTTGGCAGGTCTCTGTTCTACTAAATGCACCATTTCTAAATAACAGTAAAATGTAATTTTCACTCTGCAGGAGTTAAACATTAAATGTGATGCTGTAATGACAGTTATTGCTGATTTCATTTGATAAAGATTTGTGCAGAAAATATTGTCTTTTACAATAATATGGTTTAGAAACTGTCCCTCGGTTCAACATGAAACTTAACGAGTCTAACTTCTGAGATATGTTTAATTTATTTTATGTTTTCATATTTGATAAGATCATTTCTGTTTTTTTTTTGTTTGTTTTTTTACATAAAACCCCCATATAGGAAAAGTTGTGACATTGAGTAACATGTAAATTAAAACAGAATACAACAAATTGAAAATCTCTTATTCCTACATTTTATTCACAGTGGAACATATCAAATGTTTAAACTAAGAAATAATACCAGTTTGAGAAAGACTAAGGTAACTTTAAGGTTGAAGGCAGAAACACATCTCCAGAAAATGAGGTCTGAATTGGTTGTGTTTGCAGAATAGCTGCAGATGATACCTTATGCTGATTTGGTTGCTAATATTTTCATTTTGGAGGAAAATAAGATGCACGACTGAAGGTTAGGAGGAAAAGTACGTCATTGTTTATCGCAAATTGTGATACTGCATCACATTATCCATCTGAAACTCTTTCAGCTCTGTTGAATGAATGGTTTATAGCTTTTTGTCAAACTGAAATCCCCTTTTTACTGCAACTGATCAGCTGCTTCTTATTGTTTTATATGTTAGGAGTCAAGCCATTTAAAATGTATCATTGTAGTTAAACACTAATAACACTTTATTTTGTTACATATTTAAAGCGCAGTTTTAAAAACAGTTGATTTATGTTGTTTTTATGTCATTGCAATGTTTTTTCCTTAACTTCTTTCCTCAGGCCATTTGATATCTTTATATTAATAGCTATTTTTGCCAACTGCATGGCCTTAGCTGTCTACATCCCTTTTCCTGAAGACGATTCCAACTCCACAAACCACGACTTGGTGAGCAGATTTTTCTGTCTTTAAAACTTTATTTACTGGCGCACGTTGTCTGACTGTGACTTATCAATTAATTGCTTTTCCTATTAAGCGGTCTCTAAGTTGCAAAGTGTTTTATCCATGACGGTGGTCTTATTTGATAAAGTTTATATAAATTAAAAGTACTGTTGCAGTTTTAGAAGAAATAGCAAATCTTTGAACTTTGCATTATTCTGCAGAATCGTGCCTACAAAAAGAAATTCTGAATTGGTGCTTTATCATCTCACCATTTTTCTGTACAGAGTTTTTTCATTTTTTTATTTAGCTTTCTAATTTTAGAATTTGTTCGTCATTGCACCACTCTGTGCACCAACTTGTGCATTTATGTCTGTATGATGAATTGTGGGTGATGTAGTGTTGTAAGCATTTCTCCACAGTTGAGGTTAAGCACGCTCTTGAAAAGCCAGACAGACACACAGTCTGCGGTGCTGATGAGAGCAAAACTAAGCTGTGGTGTTCAATGATTAATGAGGAGCACATTCAGTGTGTTTGCAGACAGTTGAATGGTTGTGATAGCTGAACTTAAGTATGGAAAAGTCACATTGCTTTCCCGCTGTATGTTGCATTGATTAACGTGTTTCCAAAGAGAAGCCACAGCTTCGGCTAAACGGGTGTTTGTTGCGCTACTTTAGTGAAGTGAGGTGTGTTGCTTCACGGTGTGACCTCCTGAAGGGTGACATCTGGGTGTCTGTTTACACATCACTGGTGCATCAGAGAAAACTGGGCCATCTGGGACATTACAGTGTCTGATGCATTACTATAAACACTTTGTTGTCAGCTCTAGTTTACATTGAGTGCAAAAGGAGGCTTTTTTTTTTTTTTTTTTGTAAATGCAAAACATAAAAAAAAATAGCATTTTGATTCATGTTACTTGCTTTTTAAAGTTTTAGGGAGAACATGTTTGTTTTTATGTACATTCTTTCAGCTGAATTGCTGCTCTGGTGTGCTGATTTTTACATCATATGAATAATGTTGATGTGTTCATATTTATGTCTTAATCATATCTTTTTTCCCTCACAGTCAAAACATCAAGTCTATTTTGAGATGTTTACCATAACCATTAAATCAAAATGTTTGGAAGTCTTTGTTGCATTTATGTATAAGCTTATCAAAGCTTGTACGTAAAAAAATAAAATAAAATAATAAAACGTTAACTCGTGCATATCATCTAAGCCTCCGATTTTATCCATCATCCATCCATTATCTTCCGCTTGTTCCAAACTCGGGTCCGGGGGTTTGGGGGCCAACGGCTTGAGCAGAGAGGCCCAGACATCTCTCTCCACAGCCACCTCTTCCAGCTCTACTGGGAGGATCCCAAGGCATTCCCAGGCCAACCGAGAGACATAGGGCTGAGCAGAGTTGGGGCTCATTGGGGCAGTGCAAAAGGGCCTATAGTCTCTCCAGTGTGTCCTGGGTCTTCCCCGGGGTCTCCTCCCAGTCAGACATGCCCGAAGCACGTCCCAAGGGAGGCGCCCAAGTAGCATCCTTATCGGATGCCCGAACCACCTCAACTGGCTCTTCTCGATGTGGAAGAGCAGCGGTTCTACTCTGAGTCTCTCCCGGAGAAGTGAACTTCTCACCCTTTCTCTAAGGGAGAGTCCAGCTACCCTGTGGAGGAAACTCATTTCAACCACCTGTATCTGTGATCTCATTCTTTCAGTCACTATCCAGAGTTCATGGCCATAGGTGAGGGTAGGAATGTAGACTGGCCGGTAAACAGAGAGCTTCACCTTACAGCTCAGCTCTTTCGTCACCACAATGGACCAGTACAGAGTCCGCAATACTGCAGACGTTGCATCGACCTGTCTGTCAATCTTATGATCCATTCTTCCCTCACTCCTGAACAAACCCCACAAGATACTTGACCTCCCCCGCTTGAAGCAGAACCTCACCCTTAACCTGAAGAGAGCAATCCACACTTTTCTGGTTGAGGACCATGGCCTCAGATTTGGAGATGCTGATTCTCATCCCAGCCAGGAATAATGTGAGCTTTCCATTTTCAGAAGAGGCTGAACAAAATATTTTTTATAGGGCAGGTGTGTCAGCTTGGTCTTAGTTGCTTTACAGAGTTGTAGCCACAGGAGGAGCTTGAAAGATTAAAATGAGTTGGCTTTGCAAACCAGCAGGTAAGGCTGGAGTGAAGATTGATATTTCACATTACTCTGCTTTGCAGCTTTAAAAGAGGACTGAGGACTGATATAAAACTTGAGTTGGAGCGCTGAGTGGCCTGATGTGTAAGGCAAGGATCAAATTATGTCACAAAGCAACTGAACCATGCAGTGATAAAATGTCTTGTATCTTTAACTGTACAGAGACTCTAAAACCTGCATTAGACTCGTTTGAGCTGTGAATTTGAAGTTGTTTTTATGTAATGCTCTGAAATATAAGACAAATTGGCTTTTAATGTATCATGAGGTAAAATAGTAGTTGGTTTTCCATCAAGGAAGGTGTTACAGAGCTGCTTGAGCATCACATTGCTGCATAGTCATGGAGGCTTTAATAGCCTGAGTCTGCCTGGCTTGTTAGTGAGGCTTGGTTAAATGCAGCAGCTCTTTATAAATAGAAAGCAATTTCCTCCCCAGGCAGAACAGAGGGCAAAAAATTGGGGTCTTGCTACCACCAGGAGGCTCAAGTGAGTAACAGGATAAAGCTAGCACTCAAACATGCACATGTGCAATGACACAGAAAAACTCCTGTCAAATAGTCAGATTTATGTTCAATCTTTTGTAGATCATCATACTTATTGCTGCTCCTGTTATTTTATTGCAAACGTACAAATTTCACTCATCGTGTCCTGCATGTGACCATGTCTCCCCAACACCCACCTCTCCGAAGAGACAAATTAATCTGCAACACTCCTGATTTTGTTTTAAGGTCATTTCTGTCTGATCTATCTGATGCTGAACACCCAAGGCAGTTCCTGCCAAAGGTGGCTGAGCAAAACAATGACCTTTTCATGGTGAGTGTGATTCATACGTCTCATCCTTCACAAAGCAATGTGCAGCCAGTTGCATTTCATATCAGGTACTGTCTGTGCCCGTGTCACCGTTATTGCATAACTCTTGCACTGCACAAATGCTTATTTTAGTGGCGACAAAAGCACACAAAGATTGCAATGTCTTGCTCAAACCGACACCATGGTTGTTTTGTTGCCAGCAAAGAATTCACACTTTGAATCAGCCAGCCTTATGTTTGGAATTGTGTTTGTGAATACACATTTGTTTTGCAGATTAAAAAAAATAAAAATTTAAATTTATGATATAAAAATACATTTTCAGGTAAAGCTAGACAGCTTTAATTTATGCACCCATAAAGCCCGACTGTCTGGCTTAAGTGTTTAATGTACTATCTGAAATTAGGCCATATAAATGCCATATAAGCCTCATAAATGCCTGCAAATATAACAATTAACAATACTTTCATATAACCTCTACAGCCACTACATCATACACTTTAGGCTGTGTAGTCAAAAAGAGCAATGGTCCACGCAGAAGAAGTCATTTCTGATTGTAATACATTTGAACAACTATTGTAAACTTGTGACCTGAAGTCATCGCCTGCTGACTGATCGCTGTCACCAAGCACTTCACTGTGACAAACAGCATCCAGTGGCTGCTGTAAAAAAAAAAAATCCAAGACATCCTCCCATTTATTTTTGTTTTAGAGGATGGATGGATGGATGGATGGATGGATGGATGAATGGATGGATGGATGAAGAAAACCTTCACATTACAAACATTCAAACTCTGCTCAAAAGGCTTAAACCAGAGACTGAATTGACGGTGATTAACACAAATTCATTAATCAAAAATCTTATCTTAATATATGTGATTTTGTGTTGTTCTCCAACCTTGCTTCAGTGCAGTTTAAGACTGTAGATGTTGCAGATCTTGTTTTCCTTGATACAGATTATTTTACTGTACAACAAGATTGAAATAAATGCAGTCATCACAATTCATTATCTGTTGTACCCATCCTGCTCACGTTCAAAAATCCATAAAGAAGTATTTGTTAACACGGTACCTGGGCAGCACGGTGGTGCAGTTGGTAGAGCTGCTGCCTCTCAGTGAGTATGTATCACGGTTCAAATCCCGGTACAGGGTCCTTTCTTGGTGGAGTTTGCATGTCCTCCCCGTGCATGCATGTTTTTTCTCCGGGTACTCCGGTTTCCTCTCACAGACCAAAAACATGCATGTTAGACCGATTGGTAACTCTAAATTGTCCCTAGGTGTGAGTGCAAGAGTGAATAGTTGTCTCATTTGTCTCTGTGTCCCTTTGATGGACTGGAGACCTGTCCAGGGTGTCCCCCGCCTCTCGCACAGGGAATGCTGGATATGGGCACCAGTGAACACTGCAAAACAAAAAGGAAGAAGGGGGTAAAGATAATGGATGGATGGATGTTAACTAGCTAACCGCATCTCAAAAAGCTTTGTGATATGATCAGCTTACCTTGTTTAATCTTTGATACACAATTCAGAAACAAAACACGATATTAAAAACAGTAAAGTATAGTACTTTACCATACCATACCAATTTATTTATAAAGCACTTAAAACAGCAACAAGGCCAACCAAAGTGCTGTACAGACAAAACAACAGGTAACACACAAAGCAAAATACAAAATGAGGTAAATCAGAATATAGACATAAAAACGATGCAGATATTGATGACTAACCAGTGAGGAGCATACAGGATCAAAACACAGATCATCTGGTGTTGAAAGCCATTGAATAGTAGTGAGTTTTTAAACAGGACTTGAAAACCGAGAGGGAGGGGGGCCTGTCTGACAAACAGAGGTAACTCATTCCAGAGTCTTGGTCCTGCTACAGAGAAGGCTCTGTCACCTCTGCGCTTAAGACGAGTTCCTGGAACTGTGAGGAGCAATTGGTCCGCTAACCTCAGGGAACGTGGTGGGACATACAGTTGTAGCAGATCAGAGAGATGGGGGGGACTGTTCTGTTGTA